TTCACACAAGATTAAAGCGCACTGCTGAGCGGAAGCAATTCCGTGAGGAAGAATGAGGTCCACGGTTTGTTGTGCAAGCTTTTTAAAAAGCCGCTGATTGGAGCATTTTCTGTCTGGACAAAATGTTTCCGTTACCTCACACATCTTTGCATTTCTCTACTGCAACTTCACTTCCAGCATAACGCATGTACACCTGCTCATACAACCAGGCTCTTTTAGTGGCGCGCTAAATCAATGCCAAGCTGTTGGATGCCACATTATGATGTTCTCAGAGCGCGATCAGTGGAGTATAAGTGCTCTTCAGTAATGACACCTTTGGGGACGTTCCTGGCATTTAAATGAATGCACCGACCCACCTTCTCCCGCAGACTAAATGCCATCGATGGACCGGGAGTCAGGCCCCACCGCCTGATCCATGAGTGTCAATACTTTTCTTTCAGCAGACTCTAACCGCTGAGAGGGCAATTATTCAGAAGAGCCTTGGAGGACAATAACTGCAGCTGATAGCCCTTCCTGCTGTTGCATCTTCATAAATCATTCACTGTTTACGGCAATTTAAAACGGACGGTGATGAAAGCTCTGCAAGGTGTGACAAAAATTGCATATCTCACTGATTACACAGAAAGAGCTTCTGAGGTAGATGTGTTAACACGGCCAGACTGCGCTGATCACCAACCATAACATTTCATTTGTCAGTATACATCCACTGGATCACATATCTGGCTTATTATGGAGTCATGAAAGAGAAGTATTTAACAGAAGCTGGTTTCTGGATCTCTGCTGACCTACTTCCTGTTCTGCTGTTATCCTGCAGAGAGACGTCGCAAACACTTTGCCAGAAAAGCTCGAATTTAATCCTTCTGCTGTGCGTGCGTCTGTGTTTTCGCGAGGGTCGGGTTAATAGCAGCGAGGTGCATTAATGGATTCTGTGGGTGTTGCCCATGGACGTTTCCACGCTTCTGTGGAAAAAAACAAAACCGTGTGATGGCAAAGCTTTTTAAAAACCCGCCTGAAGAGCGAGAGTAGAAGAGCGACTCATCGGTGTGTGTGGGTCGTGCATCTTACTGTGACTGTCTGACGGTGCATACCACAAACTACGGGGCTGTCACCGGCCACACTGCACACTGAGGTCAGACGCAAGGTCATCTTTGCATAATGCCTCCAATTTATGTCATTATTTGCTTTTAGGCTTGTGCAGAGCCGAAGCTGAGCAGACAGACAGTGTGATTTATGCAGAAGTCTCAGCAGCCCTGTGATGAATTTTTCCTACCCGCTCGTCCCCGAGTGGAACACATGGCACGAAAAGAAGCTGAGCAGGATATACTTACATTATGCAGCAGAGGCAACATCAACCCTGAGCCACAGGGAGCGTAGTTCTGCCCAAATTTCAAATGAATTTAGCAGATAAGGTGTATTTTTTATTCAGTATTTCAGCTCTATAAACAGGCTCCTCTTATTCAGGCTTTATGTGCAGGTTAGTGTTTTTCCAGTTTAGGTTTTTGGTTAGTTGCAGTCTGTCCCTGTTATGTTTTGTCTATTCCCTTCTGCATCAGCCAAAATAAAGGC